ATTCCTCATAATTCAAAACAAGAATCAAAATCCCTAACCCTAGGTGAATGGATTACCTCATGCTTAGATTCAATTTCATCTTAACCGGAATTAAGAACATAAAACCAATCAACAATAATAAAATAGAATTGAAAACTTACAATCGGATTAAGAGTTGCAAGAGTTCAATCCAAATATCTTTGTGTCCAACAATCCAAGCATGAGAGAAAAAAAAAAAAGAAAAGCGGAGAAATTTATTCAAACAATATTGAGTTTTTGGAGTGAAAAATTGAAAGGAACGATATTGGTGGTTGTTCCTTAGGTCTGGGGGTCGTTTTTATATACAGAGCTCGAAAAACGGAGCTAAAATGAGATTTACAACATTTTCTAACTAGTCGAGCATGCAATCCCAATTACAAAGTATCCGTATAAAATTTTGAAATTGTACAAAAGTCCATTTACTGCAATTTTTATTAGAGAATAAAATCATTACAGTTTTAGACCTGAAAACTAGTTACGGGAAAAATTTTACTGCATAAGCCAAACAGAAGAAAAGATATTCCCTCTTTTATAATCTAGGCATAATCTGAAATGTCTATCTCAAATAGAAATGGATTTTACCTTTAAGTAACATAGCATATTCCTCCATCTGGGGTCTCAACTGAAGAAAGTGGCTTCTATCTAAAATTGAAAATTTGAAATCCTCACACAGAAACCAGAATAAACTAAATATTACACAAACGTTCACCATGATAGGAAACAGGCAAAAATTTTATAGCTCTCAATAGAGAACAACTTTTTAAAAAAAATAAAAAATAAAAAATAAAAAATAAAAAATAAAAAATAAATAAAAAAAAAAAAAGAGAAAAACACTGTTGTATGGATATGGATCTGAAGAATTACACAAGAATCTCGATAATCCCTTCATCGTATTGTCCAAGTTAAACACACAATCACATTCTAGCTCAACCTTGTACAAGAATATTCATTTTACTTTTCTACAACAACATATTAGTGCTGCTCCTTTCTTCACTTGATAATAGCATAAGCAGAAGTGACATTTTCCGAACATTTAATGTTTATTCAAGAAGTAATCTTTTAAATATATCGTATTTCGTTGTATTCGAAAGCATAAGCGAAAACATGAATTCAAATCTTCAAATCTTACACGAAAGCTCAACAAAATTTACCAATTCAAAAAACTCACCAGAAATAAAATCGAACTCTCGACTTATTATCCAATCAAATCAAAAGCTGTCAGCCTTTCTACTTCTACTTCCCCACCTCCTTTTACGGGCCCTTCTCTTTCTCCCGTCGTCCTTCGCCTTATCTTTCTCTCTCAAATCCCTCTCACCCCTTCTTTTATACATCTTGAATGTCACATTCCTATCCTTGGCCATCTTCCTCACCTTCTCAGTGATCTCCGCCGCTATTTGTCTGTTATAAAGCTTTCGTAAACCGCGCATGAGCTTAGCAAACGTGTCCGGCTGAGGCATAAGCCCAGCATCCATCATATCCAGACAATAAGAGCATGCCTCCTTCACGTGCCCGTTCGAAAACAGCGCGTGAATCCAAATCGTCCATGCGTACACATTAAGTTCACACCCTTTATTCAAAATACAACTCCACAAATCCTTAGCCAGCTGAAGCTTATTGTCCGCTCGTAAAAGAGAATTCAACAAGTCTTTTAAAACACCGTATTGTGGGACGGAGAAAAGACCCCTCTCGACCATTTCTTTGAAATAATCACACGCCTCGATTAAACGCCCGTTCTCGACAAGCCCGTTGATCAATATCACAAAGGTGTCAACACCAGGGCTAAGGCCTTCTTCTTCTTCTTCTTCAAGCTTGTTCATAATTTTCATACCTTCTTCTGTCTCCCCCAGTTTGCAGGACAAACGGAGTACGGTGTTAAATATAGTTAAATCAGGCGATACACCGATATTCCGCATCTCTTTTATGAGTTCTAAGCACTCTTCTAATTCTTCCTTTCTCTCGTGAGCTAACATGAAGTACAGATATGTCAATGGGCTGGGCGTGTGCCCTTTTCGTATCATCTCGTCTAAATACTCGTAAGCCCTCTGAATCTTACCCCACTTACAAAACCCGCTTATCAGTGTACTGTACGTGATGATGTCAGCTTCGCAACCATTCTTTTCCATTTCTGAAAAAATCCTCATAGCTTCCTCAATCTTCTCTTGAGCGCACAGCCCTTGGATCACGATAGTGTACGAGCCCGCATTTGGCTCGCAACCATTTTTCCTCATTTCTTGCATAAGATGAAAAGCGTCCGTCATTTTGCCAGCTGTCGAGTACCCAAGGAGCAAATTGTTGTAAACAACAACATCAGGCTCAAAGCCAGCCTCGCGCATTCTCACCAGCACGACTTTCGCCTCCATCAACTTTCCCGCCTTACACCAACCATACACTAAGGAAGTGAACTGCTTTATGGTCGGCTCGAATCTCTCCCTCATGTCCTCAAAAAGCAGAGAGGCTTCTTTTACGCTGCCGTTTTTGCAAAGGGCGTCCAAAAGGCACCCGAACACGTATTCGTCAGGCTCACAGCCGTACTTTGGCATCTCTTCCAAAACCTCGATTGCCTTTTTTACCATTCTTGTGGATGCAAATCTCCTCATGAGAATAATAAATACCTCAGGGGATAAAAGTTGAGGGTTTTCTTTCCTCATCTGCTCTATAAGGGCCCAAACAGCTCCGAATTGCCTCATTTTGCCTAAATTCTTGATCAGGGACTTATAGACTTCGTAACTGTGAGTGTAACCTGTTTTTTTTGATGCCCACACAAAGAATCTGTATCCTAAGTTCCCAGCATCACCACATCGGTTAAGAACTCTCTCGGATAACCCAGGTCTTACTGAAACACCAGATTCATTGAGGGCGAGTTCCAATTTTGGGACCCTGGAATGGAACTTCCTCAGTATTCTGTATAGTTTCTCGACATCAGCAGAAAATTCATCCTGATCATGACTTTGGCTTTCTGCAGATGATTCTTGTTCATTCTTCAGGTGTATAAGGTGAAGCCCTTTTCCTGGTTTGTTCAGTTTGGTGCCGACTCCATCGTTTCGGATGGAATTGTGAGGCTCAACAGTTGAATAGGTGGAAAATAGTAGAGGTTTCCATAATTCATGCCATTGAGACAAGAAAAAAGGATCATTTTCAAATGTCTTTAGCTTCCAAACAGATTTCCATGAACAGACTCTCTGCATATTAAATTTTCAGAGCTTTTCATGCTTTTCCCAACATTTGTTCTTTGTTCCTAAAATTCTGAGTTAAATGCTTTGCTGCACATAGAATACTTTGGGGAAGTGGCTTGTTGGTCCCATTACTGCCTATTTAGATGTTGGAAGTTTGTTTCTGGCTTGTTCAATTATCCACTAATCAGAGTTCTTCCTCATAACTGCACATAAGAAATAGAGGTATTTGAATGGGATGAGAATTCATGCTACTTTACAAATTACAATCAAACTGTAACTAAAGTTGATGAATTGTATAAACATTGTACCAAAATTACAACTTGCATTTACCACATTCACGCACATGAATACACACGTACACAGAGATATAAGAAAGAAGAAAAACAACCTAAACCAAGAAAGAAAAAAACGAAACAAGAGAGTTCGCACACCACTCACACAGAGAGACATGAAAGAAAAGGGAATTTCGGGACACTAATCTATTCATGTCATTCAAGGGCATTCTTAGATCTGAAGCAAACACGAAGAAAACCGAGTGGTTAATCACTTCACATCATTCAAGCTCAAGACCACTCACCAAATCGAGCCCAAAGTATCGTTAGCCCGTGTGGTTATATTTACATGGAAGGACACATCTGTCCATCTTTGTAGAACAAAAAATCCTTAAAGATGAGATTCCAGAGAGATTTTTACAGTGACGATTTTAATTTTTTCTTATGCCACAAATGTATACTTTCAAGAGAGAGAGAGAGTGCCAAAAATACAGAATTCCTTAAGATAGACCACTCTATCATCTCTCCCATCACAGGTTCAACAAGTCCCCTTAATAGAATATAAAGATGTTGTAATAAATAGTTGTACCTTTAGTTTTAGTTATTGTACCTTTTTACAAATTGGGTGGGTGCAACCCGTACAATGAATCACGACTCACAGGCCCAAAGAAGAATGAGAGATTCAAAGCCAGAAAAGAAAATTACGAATCTGAGTTGCAGCCCTTACGAGGGGATTTGGGTGGCGAACTCAATTGAGAAGACGAGTGTCACGACGGCCTGCGGGGTGGAGTGTGTGCGGGAGCAAGAACGACCGAGCGAGGCGATGTGAGATTTCAAAATTCCGGCGATTTTGTGCGCCGACGCCGAGCAAAGGGAGATGGAGCGGGTGATTTTGTGCACCGTGCGGCGGACGGGCGGAGAAGTGCAGTGCTAGGTGGGGTTTTCTGGAGGATGAGACGATGAGTGACCGTGAGAGACGATTTGTTCCTGGAGGATAATATCTGCTTTGTCGATGGAATTGGACTATAGGAGTGATAAATTGGGCCTGCTTAGTGCTTTGTGGTGGGCGGCCCGTTTACTAATGGCAATTGGATTGAATAAAATATACTGGGCCTTTTTTAACTTATATAATATCGGTTTTCGGTTCGGTTCGGTTAACCGACGGATTGTAACCAAACTGAACCGAAAACCGAAAAATTAAGAAACTTAAAACCGATAACCGAACCAATTTGTCGGTTTCGGTTTCGGTCGGTTTCGTTCGGTTATCCAAAATTTGTGCAGCCCTAACTTTAACGCCAATTTTGATTCCAACATTAACGCCCTCTTCATTACATATAGTAGTATGCAATCTTATACGCATGCACAGATGTAAATAAATCTTTACTAGTGCAATACCCGTGTATTACACGGGTGTTGAATTAGAAAGTTTTTGTAAAAAATATTATTTTTTTAATTTTTTAAAAATTAACATAATTTAATTTTATATAAAACACTACTTTGGGTTTTAATTAAATTGTCAAATTATATTTTTTTAATCATAATAAGTAAACACATGTACATTAAATAAAAATGTTAACCCGTGTTGAATTTGTTTACTTATATCATATAATAATATCGATATTATTTACTATTACATAAGCAAAAAAATATATATCTTAAGTAAATAGAAATATTATGGTGATATGTATAAGCATAAGTGTAGAATATGCTTATTTAATGTTATGAAAAATATTAATTGATAAATACTTTTATTTTCTAATTAATTGTAATAAATAATTTTATTATTATTATAAAGATAAAATATAATTTATTTATTTTACATATACAATATGTATATGAAAATGTCAACCCGTGTTGAATTTTTTTACTTATATCATAATAATATCGATATTATCTACTATTACATAAGTACAAAAATATATATCTTAAGTAAATAGAAATATTATGGTGATATGTATATGCATAAGTGTAGAATATGTTTATTTAATATTAAGCAAAATATTAATTGATAAATAGTTTTATTTTCTAATTAATTTTAATAGATAATTTTATTATTATTATTATTATAAAGATAAATGTAATTTATTTATTTTATATATACAATATGGATGTCAAATCGAAGCTCATCAAAAGATGATTAATTTGATATATTATATATGTAAAACCGATAAGAAATACAAAAGTTATCAACTTTTAAAATATATTTGCAATTCAATGGTTATAATATATCAACTTTTAAAATACAATTAATACAAATATTAATTTATATTCAAGCCTAACTCCAAAGCATGATTTTTTGTCAAATAGGATTCTAAAGCATGAGAATTTGCCACGTAGGCTCAGCGCATTCTGAAATTATATATAGAGGGGATACATTATATATGTGTATGTCATATTTAAAATTATATTTTAGATAATGTGCATATACAATTTATTGTTTATCAGTATTACAAATGAACGATATAAATATAAACCATTTAACTCTTTGAGCATATCACTAATTATAATTTAGATAATGAGCATATCACTAGTTTATTGATTTTTGTATTTTGTGTGTAATAAATATTATTGTATAATTCATTTTCACATTACCATAACATAAAAGAAAAATCTACAAGTTAAAAAACTGATTTTTTATTAAATTAAATCAATTTAATTAAATCTGCTAATATATGATTTCAAACTAATAATTAAAAATAAAATAAAATAGAATATAGTTAAGTGTGTGAGAAAACGCAAATGACCAAAATTATGAAAGAATATTAGAAAGTACATTACATATAAATTTGTAATCTTGATTGTAACAATTAGATAGAAGTGAAATAAAGTGAAGAAACACAAATTATTAATGATAGATTTTTGTAACTTATTTTAGAGAGAAAACAAAAGAGATTTTATCAATTGATTTGCTAGCAATTATATAGATACTAGTATTCGACCTGTGCAAATGCACAAATATAAATAAAAGTATTGTGGGTTATTTGTATGCATATAATGATTAATAATTTTTCTTGCACTATTTTGCAGGCCAAATTTACAATTAGAGGAGTTGGAATATTTATTTTTTTAAATTGTGTTTTTCATATTGTATGTAATGTATAGTTTGGTATTATTTTTTTTGTAAATTATTTATCATTTATTTAGGAATTTCTAATACATTTTTTATTTTCCAAAATGAGTTAATTTAAATGTAACCACAACAATGACATCTAATTACGTTAAATAATCAACACATTATATGGTCAGCTGTAAGTAAATCAAAAGTTTAAAATGATTTTTGTAATTTTAAAGTGATTAATATGTTGATTATCTAATAATTAAATGAGAGGTTAAATAAATAAAAAATAACGGTTTTTGGAGAGAAAAAGTTATATTGCCACATAGGTATAATTTAATAGGTTTTATTAAATGCTCATGAGCCAACAATTATATATATATATATATATATATATATATATATATAGAGGGGACGGATCGAATGGGTCTACCTCTTAAAATGTGGACGTGAGACCCAATCTCAACCGTTGAATCTGCCTTTTCAATCTACGGTCAGCATCAGGTATATATATAATTATAAAATCACGAGCTGAAAAATCACAAACCTTCAGCTCGCTCGCGCACAAAATCGGAAATAATATCTCAGATTTCCTCCTCAATCACGATTCTCTGCGATTTCTTTCTCAATCTCGTCTGAATAGGTTTAACTCTCGTTTTCTATTAATTCTATAGGCAAACTCAACTGCTCGTCAAAATTATCCAGGAAAAAAAAAGTCGATTTCATCAAATTTATCTACAAAAAATGTCGACGGAAGCAGTTTCAGTTGCGCCATTAATGGAGATCGAAGCAGCTTCAGTTGCGCCATTAATGGAGATCGAAGCAACTCCAGTTGCGCCATTATTGGAAGAAGGTATACTGACTTTAAATAAAATACTTGCTGATGAATTCACCATGAATGAAATTTTGATGCAATTTTGATTTTTGTAGAATCTCTATTTTCTGGCAAAAATATTATATAATGTTGATGCAGTTGTTCCAATTATATAAAGTTGCTGATAATGTTGAATAAATTGTTCTATGTTACTCTGATATTATGTTTTTTGATTCATGACATAACTAACACCTAGCAGCAACTATCCTAGCAAATAAATATAATTATCCTAGCAACTACATACAACTAACCTAGCAGCATCAGAGAAATATCATAGCAAATAAATATAACTAACATAGCAACTACAGACAATTGACCCAGCAACTAAAGACAACAAAAACCTAGCAACAAGAGAACTAACCTAGCAGCATCATACAACTAACCTAGCAGCATCAGAGGACTATCCTAGCCAATAAATATAACTAACATAGCAACTACAGACAATTGACCCCAGCAACTAAAGACAACAAAACCTAGCAGCATGAGAGAACTAACCTAGCAGCATCATACAACTAACCTAGCAGCATGAGAGAACTAACCTAGCAGCATGATAGAACTAACCTAGCAACTACATACAACTAACCTAGCAGCATCAAATAACTATCCTAGCAAATAAATATAACTAACTTAGCAACTACAGACAACTAACATAGCAGCATCATACAACTAACCTGGCAACAAAGAGACATATAAACTTACAAAGGGATATAACTATCCTAGCAGCAAGCATACAACTAACATTGCAACACGATACAAAATAACCTTGCATTTGCAATTATTAAGGCTAATGTTTTTGTATGATATTTTGCAA